CACCAAGAGGTCACGGGTTCGAATCTCAGGGAGCGCAGGAGGCCGCCCGTCCATGTTTCTCGCTCATCGCTGATGTTTGTCTCTCTCTCTCCCCCCTTCCTCTCTCTCTGAAATCAATGAAAACATATATATATATATATATATATATATAATATAATAAATCAATGAAAACATATATATATATATATATATAATATATTTTTATTGATTTCAGAGAGAGAGGAGGAAGAGGGAGAGAGAGATAGAAACATCAATGATGAGAGAGAGTCACTGATCAGCTGCCTCCTGCATGCCCCTGCTGGGGATCAAGCCAGCAACCATATGTGCTCTGACTGGGAATTGAACCGCGATCTCCTGGTTCATAAGTTGATACTCAACCACTGAACCATGTCAGCTGGACTGGAAACATATGTTTTAATACGCCAAGGTTGAGGGTTTGTACCCCAGCCAGGACACATACAAGAATCAACCAATGAATGCATAAGTAAGTGGAATAACAAAATGATGTTACTCTCTCTCTCCCCCTTCCTCTCTCTCTTTACAATCAATAAATTTATTTTTAAAATTAAAATAAACTGCAACAAAAGTAAAGTTGTATAATTTCTAGTTTACCAAACAGACATACCCTGTCTAGCTCCCAAGACTTAAATGGGGAAAATAAAGATGTCAGAACCAGGTCTCCTTCTATCGCAGAATTAAAGTTTTAGAACCCATGTATCAATAAGAAACTTACCTCTGATGCTATGGATCTCTTGGTTCCAGATGCTATTAAAAAATAATAAAACACAATCATAAGTATGTATACACACACTCAGACATCTCTATCCTGCACACTGAAACAATGAGGGTTTGAGTTAAATTAAACCTAACAATGAGCTCCAGCCTCTTGCTCTGTGATACCTTTTAGACAGAGAATGGCTCTCATATTCACAGAGCCCTTAAGCACATTCCATTTCTGTTCTAGTCCCTTTTCTTACTCAAGTGCTCATATTTTCTCTCGGAAATGTCTGTTCTTGATTCATTTACCCATCAGAGTCAGAAGGTCTCATTTGATACCATGGCTGAAAGAAAAAGGGCATAAGAAACCCAAGAGTAATTGGAAAGTCTGGAGCTTGATTAATAATGTTTCCTGTAGAACTAGAAGGGTGAGAACTTTTAGAGCATATCTATGGTGTTTTACTCCTCTGTTAATTATTTCAGAAAAAGGTAAAGAGTTGATCTATGGAAATGAAGAAAGAGGCTAAGGATGAGAAAATGCAATGTGAAAATAATGAAAAAGCATTCAGTGCAAGCAGAAACTGATTCTGCGTCCCTACAGCCTTGTCTTGATTTCTGCTGTAAACTCAACAGGAATTTGTTGGCATTTCCTTACTTACTAAAGTAAGTTTTACTTACTAAATATTTAATCAGTACAGGTGTGCAAGATAAGTGTGTAGTTAAATCTCGTAATTATTATTTATGACTTTTATCCATTTAAACTTAGAAAAGATTTCAAGAACATGTTCAGAAAGTGACAAGACTGTATCTATAGAAAAATCTACTCTGAAAGATTAAGTCAATTCTGAAGGTATTGCCATTCCCATAACCTTTATCCATGATCATATCAAAGACACATCATCACTCAGCAAGACAGACTTTTCTTCCCTTTTCATAATGGAGAATGTTGGCCTTTATCTTCAAAGATTACTGATATATCACATCAATCTAGCTCTAAAGAATTCAAAAGGAATAAAGATTAGCCATATTGAAGAAAATTAAAAAGAGGAGTCCAAATGGGATGAATCTTCAATAACAAGTTAATACCTGACTAGGAAGACTAGTTCCAGTCCATATATATAAAGATTAATGGTGAGGCAGCAACAGAGGCACATGGGATTAAGAGTAATCAGGTAAAGCCCTAGTAATAATTGTTTAAGACAAATGGTTAGGCGCCCTGAGAATTTCAGAATGTAGTTGGGCTTAGAGGAGAGGTAGAATAGCCCTTAGTAGAACAGACCAAGTATTTCTGGTAGCAATAAGCTGAGCAGCAAAATTTCCTTCCTCATGGTGAGTCAGAGTGGCAAAAAATGAGGAACAAGATAGTTTTCATTTCTCTTCCAAAAAAAGAGGCAAGGGAAATGTCACCTAGCTGTTAGGAAGACATGCTGCATAAAATAACCCAGAAAACTGGAAAAAAACCCAGCAGAGCCCAAGTACCTACATCTTTTGTAGGATGCTTCATCTTTAACAAGGTGATTGACTTCACCCAGGTGAAAGACTAGGCAAATTAGGACTGGGAACCCTAAGCTAAAGCCAGGACAACTAAGATTTATAATTAAAACTGCTACTGAGTTATTACAAAATTTAAGGTGTCTACCAATAAAAACAGTAGTCAAACCTTTTATATCTTACAACCTTTTAACCAAGAGCAAATCAACATGCTGAGCCATTTAAAAATGCTAAGACCTTGCCCAGCCAGCGTGGCTCAGTGGTTGAGCATTGACCTATGATCCAGGAGATCGCAGTTCGATTCCCGGTCATGGCACATGCCCAGGTTTCAGGCTCAATTCCCAGCAGGGGGCGTGCAGGAGGCAGCCAATCGATGACTTTCATCTTTGATGTTTCTATCTCTCTCCCCCTCTCCTCTCCTCTCTGAAATCAATAAAAACATATAAAAAAATAAAAAATAATAATGGAAGACCTGGGTTCAAATCCCTGTTACATCAGGCAAATTATTCTCTATATTGAACTAAAAGAAAAGGAACCTATATTAGGTTATATAAAGATTAGATAAGCTAAATTCAAAGTACTTTATGGACTATAAAGTGCTATCCAAATATGTTGTCATATGTGATTTTTAATATAAGAGCAAAGTTGAGCCCACAGTAAGGTTTAATGATTACCTAGATAATCATAAAATTTTAATTAGCATCTCAAAATACTTGGCTCCTCCCAAACCCCTCCCCTCCAACATATCCTCCTGAAAGGACACACACATAACTATAGAATCAGTGATTCTCAATGAGGAAATCAGTATACTTTCAGTTGAGAAGACAAACACTGATTCTGGACTCCTTGATCAGTGCCTGAATCGACCCCTTCTGCTTTTCCCCCCAAGGAAGGGGTTTGCAAGGGATCTGGGAGAACCAAGAAAAGTCAACATCCAGTCCTAGTCTGACAGTCTGACCTACAAAATAATGCCCTCTGTAAGCATGGAGTAAATAATGGAGGGGAAAAATGCAGATAAGTGATTTCAAGGCAGGGACTAGGTTTGGGGCTTTCTTCCTTCCAAGAAGTTCTACTTTGCTACCTTTCCTGGTTTTATGACATGAAAATATAGCCCTAGGGCTGCTAACTCTTGAAAAGTATGCAGAATGAGGGTGGGAGAGCTTCACTCAATGGAATTTTGGTACCAACTGCTTAGCTATCTATAACTGCAAAGCTGGGATTAATCCCAAGAACAATATAGCTGAAGCAGTTAGAATGATATTGGGGTCTAAATAATAATAATGAGAATAACAGGGAGGAGGAGAATCAGGACCCAAGACTCATTCTCTTCCTTGCCTGAATTGTTGTCCCTTGGGGACAGATCAGAGCTCCAACCTACCAAAGAATGGAAGAGAAAAATACTTAAGAGAATTTTACCCATGTCGGTGTAACACCCAGCTTGGTCCAGAAACCCAATGAAGAGCAGAGTGACATTTCAGGGAACCAGATACTGTCTGCTAAGGACTGACCAAATAGCCCAAAGCTCTGTCCATGAGAAACTGTCTACTGAGGAAGTACACAAGACTAAAGAGTCACCAGCATGGTGCCTAGTCACCTCATAATAAGCTTTCTCTTCTACATATACAGAGAAAGAAAAAAATAAGTGAGGAGGAGGAGCAGAGGGAAGGAAGGGAAGGAAGAAAAGTGAAAAGAAAAAAAAGAAAAGAGAGAAAAGACCAACTCCCGGCTTGGAAATAATGAGATTCATCCTCATGAATAAGACTAGAGTACTATTCAACAGAAAGTTTTTCTAGCATCTCTGTGAAAAATACTTTCTGATAAGAACATATTATCACTTTATAATCCATATCCATGATCCATATATATCATCCTCTTTTTGGGCAGGGAAACTGAGTGGAGAGTAGAGGTCCAATGTTAAAATTTACCTTTTTCAGAGAAAAACATTTTTCCTGAGTAATCTGGAAACCTGCCTCTCCCCTTCTAAGTCAAAACTCTGAAGGATTATTATGAGTATGTCTACATCATCATTAGTTCACTCTAGGAAACGTGGCATGTGCTATAAGAAAGGAGAGAGCAAATTACCCACAGTGGGTTATAGAGGCTGACAGCTTGGCTATAAAAGCTATAGAGAAGGTCCTAAACCAGCGTCTCCTCATTGGCTCAATTTCAACACATCTCAGCACCAGTTCAATGCAGAATTATATCCGCTCCCTGCCCATTCACTTATTCAACAACTACTTATGGATCATCTGTTATATGGCAGGAATTACGCTAGGTCCTTTTGGAAGGGTTATATGATCCTGACGCGGAGGAGCTCACAATATTTCTTTTTTCTCCATCACTTGGCATCTCCACATTACCCTATTTCACCTTAATGCTGACTATAAGACTAAACTGAAACACTGATATGTTTTTAGAAAGGCCATTTCTCTCCACTGACCAAACAATGTATATTTTTATAGCACTTTAAAAATTTACAAACATTTATCTTGTTCAGCCCTCAAAACAATACTACAGGGTGTGGGAATTGTTTTAATCAGGAACTTAAGAGACGTATCCACCAAATATAATAAATGTGTGAAACTTGTTTGGATGCTGATTAGAAAATAAGCTAAAGATTCCTGAGACAGGGGCCTTGAGAGGAGAAATTAAATCTTTTTTTATTTTGTAGATGTTAAGCTACTGACAATGCTACCATGATAATGTTACAACTCCCTCTCCCCCCAAAATAGAGTCCTTATCTGTAGAAATACATTCTGAAGTATTTATGGCTGAAATCACATGAAGACTGGGTTTGCTTTAAAGTATCCCAGGGGTGGAGGTGGGGGACTGGAGGATAATAGATGTAAAACTGGCAAAATGTTGCTGTTGAAGCCAGCTGATGAGCCATGGAGGTTCATTACACTCTTCTCTATACTTTGTATATGTCTGAAAATTTCTACAATCAGAAGTTTAGGGGGAAAAATACCATAGAAGAAAAGAAAGCAGGTCTAGATAATCAAGCTTCTTCATCTGAGCTGGCTTCTTTCTGAGAGGTTTTCTCTAGTAAAAGCAAGCATCAAGGATGAAGTTCTAACAGAGAAATTATTTTTATATTATACAAACTTCCCAATTCATGCCCACAGTTTATTTCCTTCAAGACTATGGGACTCCTACTTATTAACAGGCCCTGGAACAAGAAGCACTGTAAACAACTAGCTAATGCTGCTCTACTGGAAGCAAAAAATAAAGCCATGACGCACACGCTGCATCAGAAAGAATAATGGTTCGAAGAGCTTATTCCTGAGTGGGCTACCAGATGATCCACATCCAGTCATAGGAATTTCAAGCCCTAGTTCCTCTGCTGAAAGAAGAAAACATTTAAGACCTAGAGAACCAAGAGTGTGCTCACTTTGGGAATTTGTGTGTTTTAATTCTAGCCTAGGCACACTCAGTCTGACTGAAATCTATAGCTGCTAATGAAAGCTGATTTTTAAATCGAACAAGTTAAGAACTTAGCTCTTTCAGCTGCAAGTGAAGCTACTGGCCTACTTTCAAGCTAACAAATCAATAACCAC